ACATAATTCACATAATATCTCTTAGAACTACTGAATCGAACAACTTTAGTGTTCACTTTAAAGTCGAGCAAGTGAATTGGTTTTATTTATTAATTGTTCGGGGCGTTACAACAACACTCCAATGATCAATGCTGCAAGTTTGTCATAGTTATTTACCCCAATCCAATCCCAAATTCATTGACCCATTTCTTAGGTAGAATCTAAATGGCTACCTCCACATAACATACAGCAAAACAGAAAATAATTTTGAAGTGCATCCGCAACTAAATGAATGGAACACATCACAAAGAACACAAGCAAACAAGAACAAAAAGGTTGTGGATGAAGATAAGGTTACCGCTTGGAGAAGGCAGCGTCGTTGGTGGTCACAGCGATTTTTGTCTTGTCCCTGGCGACAGTAACAGTGTCCCCAAGCGCTCCCGACTTGCTTCCGACCTTGATGTGCTCCTGAAAGAACTTTTTTAGTGAGGCTGTATCTATGATCTTATCCTCCATCGGCTTCCCGTAGTCAATCACGAATGTCGGGCGCCTTATTCTTCCTACCTTTTTAGGCCCCACCGCCAGTGGCTCCTCCTTTGCTCATGCCTGCGATTCCAAAGAGAGTTTTTATATCGGGGTTCGGTTTGGATTCTTACAAAGTTGATGTTGCCAATTCAAACTGTAAAACTCAAGTAGCAAGCATATCAATTAAATAAAATTTGGCTGTAAGTCTGACATAAACGATCGAATCAAAATCTTGCCCGAACTTATTTGCTTCTTCAGCATATCACCTTTTGTTGATTAGTGTTCTCATCTTGAGTTCTTCAAGGTAGAAAACTGAAGCTTATCACGAAACAGGAAATTTGCCTCGATTAATTTCCTTAACTTGACAAGCATTATAACTCTAGTTGTCTTGGTATCACCGTATTTAGATAGCTGGTCACTTTACCTGACATGTAGAGTTTTCTAATCATAAGAACGATAATCGTGAATGCTGAAGAAAAAAGAAGCTGTGAATATCCGTTTATTTGTCAGAAGCCAAATCCAGAAGATAATCGTGAATACTTAGGAATTAATTTCATAATATTACCTTTGACTGGTTTGAAGCCTAGTAAATAGGTCTCTTCTCTTAGTTGGCAGAATAACCATTTTCATTAAAGCTTGTTTTGCCGTCTCCAGACCAGCTGCAGGAAAACTTTCAATAGCAATTTTATAAAAAGAAAAGAAAAGCTCAAATGAGGAAGTGAGAGTTGCTAACCAATATCATCCCATTTAACTGAAGGGCTTTGGTTAAGTATCACAGAGTTTATCATCTCAACCAGTTTAGCATCACAGCCACCACCAGTTGTTGCTATATGCCTTGATGTCCCTGCATTATTAGCCTGACTTTTCAGTATAGGACCACTGGTCTGGCCAGAAGGCCTTTGTAATGCCATTTTTTTTGGATGTGAAATTGTATATGAAACTGCCCCAGTTTGTGACTTAGAGGAAGTGCTCTATGAAATATAGATTTAAATAAAAGAAAAAGATTGATGAGGTAATGACCAAGTGGGAAGAGTCCATTACATTTTCCATAGAGTGTAGAGCAAAAACATGAAGAAAGGAACATCTTCCCTCACACCTTGATGAAGAGAATAACCATAATAAATTTTGACTAACTTTTCCTACTTTCATAAGCAAAAAACAATTATATGAAACTCAACCATCAAGCAAAATTATTCTTTTTTCAGCACAACCTGTTAATTAGAAGAAATATATAAGATGGTAAAGCAAAATCCTTAAACACAATAAAACCCACTCAGTAATCCAATAGTGTCTAAAATTAAATCCACCAAAAGAACCATCCAAATATCAATGTATTTCACAATGTATTTCACAAAATCACTGTAAGAGATTCACATACTAATTTACATAAGCGACATCTCAATCAAGAAAAAGAATTTAAATTATTTTGACCTTAGAAATGGTTTAAAAAAACCTACCACGCTCTAATGCTCAAACAGCTCAAGCTCATTCAGCCTCCATAACACACCTCAAGTGGCTTTGTCAAGTATTGGCACATTAGCTATTTTTTTTTTGCCCATATTCTTAGCAATGGAAGTTTTTCTGG